TGTGTGTGTGTGTGTGTGTGTGTGTGTGTGTGTGTGTGTGTGTGTGTGTGTGTGTGTGTGTGTTGGATATACTGTAGATCTAAGCTTTATAGGAATTGATTTTGTGCCTGAGGAATGGACAGTTGTTATGAAATCATATTGATCTTTTTAATGCACTACCAACACCTTTTTTTATAAAACAGTATTGGTGTAGGAAACATTGTTTTAATTTATTATCAAAGCAAGACAAGAGAGAAGACTGAGTGTGTGAAATTGCTAAACAGGAAACTAAATGATGAGCTTTTCTGATGTAACTTGGAATTAATATGAAATAGTAAGCATTTTTTCCCCTTTCTGATGAGATGACAGATTGTGTAATTGAACATGTTTAGAGCCAACAGCAGAAATAAGAAAATGAGAAAAGGATCCGTGTAAAATGCGTATGTGTTTACTTATATGACTTTTTCCTGTTTGTTTTTCATAGTTCTCATTGGAGGATCACGTTCACTCCCAATGGCCAGGTGGCTGACCTTTAGCCTCTCCTGCTTCCTCTCACTCCTCTGCAGATGATGAGCACCTCCCGCAGCAGCAGCACCAGTCTGTCCTGACAGACACTGCCCTAACTCGCGCTTTTTTTAATCCTCTCTCTACCCCACCCCCTCCCTGCCCTCCTCTGCATGCCTGTCTACTCACCTGTCTGTCCCCTTTGTTTACTGTCACCCTGTATCCCCTTCGTTTCATGCTTCTAGCTCAACTACCAAAAAGCCTTTGTCTACTTTTCTCCCTCACTTTCTCTAAATATGTTAACGTTCACACATATAGCAACTGATTTCCATGCTGTCTTTAAGGTTACTACAATGAAACTTGGCATTTTCTCCTACGTCACTCTATTCAAATCACCTTTATGTCAGTGTCACAATGTCATGTTTCCCTCTACTCTTCTTCTACCTTATTTGTCCATGTGAGCCCCCTTTGTGTACCTCCACACCCTGCAACCACTTTTTCTAATGGCCCCCTTGACCTAATCCTCCGGACACACCAAAGTGTCGGACACTCTACCAAAGATCACAAAGAATCTGAGGGAATAAAATGAGGGAACATGGACACCCGAAAGAAACAGAAAGCAAGAGAGAGTGTTAAAAGTAACAAAAAAAACCCTCTTTGTCATAAAGACTGACCCCATCCTTTGGGGGTGTCGGGATCTACAGGATGACAAATAGGGATGAAGAACCCGATGGCTGAATGAAACAAACTAAACGGTTGTGAAAAGGACACTTTTGAAGACACTTATGAAAGTCGGGCGCCTCTTGTAGCCTCTCTGCTTGCCACAAAAGACAAACCTCAGCGCGGATTATACGTGTACATTTATCTCTCTCTATAAATATATATTATACATATATATATATAAAATATAACTAAGTTTAAACTAAAACACCACGAGGACAGTGAATGACTTTACTAAGTGAAATTAAAGAAGCACAATGTTTTTACAACCTCTGTTGTACCTTTGGGTTTATTCTACTTCTTATGTGATGTTGCGATTTGTCAGACCTATTCAGTGTTTTTGGATATTTTAAGTTTACTTTATTTTATTACGTTTAGATTTTTTTTGTTATGGCATCCTAAGGGTCAAGGACAAAGAGTAATAAAGTATTATTATATTCATATCTATAAGAAGTAGAGGATGATTTATGATCCAGAGCCTGATTTGAACACCTGGAGGAAAGAAACAGATGACCCAAGCCATCTGGACAGAAACCTTTACCTTTCTTTACTCATAGAGGACTAAACACACACACACACACACACACACACACACACACACACACACACAC